GAAAGGGCTTCAAGCAGAGAGAGAGAGAGTTGGAGGAGGAGGAAAATAATCGGGTTCTGCATGTATTCCGAAGTAAGAGCCAACAAAACTCACTAATGGCCCGGATGTGTGACGTGCGAGAAGGAGAAAAGTCAAGGAGGACTCTAAGACTTTTGCTCTGAGCAAACCCTCTGAATCTCTGGAAGGGTGCTCTTAACTGAGGTGGGAAAACTGCAGGAGGGAACTGGTTTTGGGAGATCATATCCAGAGCTTTCAGTTTTAGACATGTGAAGTTTGAGATACTTAATATACAACCAATTGGAGATGTTGAGTAGAGATGCATGCATAAGTCTGGAGTTTAGGGAAGTGTTTGGACTGGAGATGTTTATTTGAGAGTAGTCAGTACATAGATGCCATTTAAAGTCGTTGGATTGGTGAGAACACCATAGAATAAGAGACCACAAAGAGATGTCCAAGGACTGAGTCTTGGGGATTTCTATGTTTAAAGAATTGAGTGTGAGACGGCCAGAAAAGCAGGATAAGAACCAAGATAGACATTTAGCCCAGAAGCCACATGAAGAAAGTGTTTCAAGGATGAGAGTGGTCAACCTCTCCCCTGTTGCTGAGCTGTTGAGTGAGGTGAGGAAGGGAATTAACCACTGGATTTAGCAACAAAGCAGTCACTAAGGACCCTGAGAAGATTTGTTTCCCTGGAGTGGTGGGGTGAAGGGCTGCTGAGAGCGGATTCAAGAGAACGGGAGGAAAGGAATTAAAGGCACGTGTGGAAAACCCTTTTGAAGATTCCAGTGGTAAAGGGAAGCAGAGGGAGATATGGAATCTAGGAAATGTCTTTTTTGCCATGGCAGATACTACAGCATGCTTGTAAGCTCTTAGAAATGATTCAATAGAGAGGGAAAATTTCCTGATGCAAGAGAGGGAGTGGACAATTGCTGCATCAGTGTCTCTGAGTCAGAGGGAATGAGACTAGCACTGGTGGAGAGGTTAATCTTAGCTGAGAGCACTGAGGGGTCATCATAAGTGACCGGAGGACAGAAGAGTATATGAAGACAGATGCAGGTAGTTTGGTACCCAGAGTGGTGGAGAGGGAGTTTGTGCTAACTTCTCTTTCAATTGCTTCTATTTTACCAGTGAAGAAAGCACGGCCATTAGCTGTGAGTAATAAGCCAGAGGTTTGATGAAGGAGAAGCTGTGAAACAGTCCTTTAGAAGAGTGGGGGTGTGAATAAGGAAGTACGGTAGCTTTGCCACGGAATGTTGATTATAAAGTAGCTGGTGTTTAAACATGTAATAAGTACTATAATGCAGATGGGAGAATGAGATGTTCTGAGAAATCTAGTGTTCAGGCAGAGTTATACCACGCAGGGCTAAAACAAAACCCTAAAATTTGAAACATCATTGGAAATAATTTAATCTTGGATGATTCTGGAGTCCTTTTTAATAGTTGAGTCATTTTCCTGAATATTAATTAGTAACACCCTGTAGATGTATAGCCAGCAAGAGGAAGTTCTGAAAGTATGATAATAGGCTGGATAAACCAGATTTTAACTGTAAAACACGCAAATGTCAATCGATGTTTATAACATTAAAAAAATCCATCAGTTCTTCCCGTTTGGTAGGCCTATGTGTCAAAATGCAATCTATATTTCATATGTAAGGGTGTTTTGTTGAGTACCAGGGAACAACCAGAGGGAAACCAGTCCAACTGTGTTCTAACAAACTAAGAAGTGAGCAGGGAGGGAGTGACCTAGTAAACGACTAGCTGTTCTTATCACTAGGAAAGGTGACACATCCTTTGTGTGGGTGGGGGAGGGGATTAGGCAGAGGTGGGTAGAGGAGCCAAAGAGAGGCAGGAAGGGGGTTGAGATCTAATCTGTGCTTGGCAAACTCTGTATTCCCCTTTCCCTCAATTTCTCCTATTTCTCCTATTCTACTATATCTGAAGGTTAGGGAAGTTATCTGTGTAATTTGAGGCCAATACCCATCTCTTGAGCCTCATAAGAAGCACAGAATAAAGTTAATAGGTTTGGCTAGCACTTGGGTCAGTTATTTCAAACGTATCAAATGGCTATCTGGGAGTCATAAAACAGGAGGCCCTGAAACCATGCTGTGTTGGTGGATACAGATTGGCAGCCATCCTTTAAGGGCAAACCTATGTTAAAAGTTGAGCCAGAGCAAATGAACAACCACCAATTTACAATAGCTTGGGATGCTATGAAAGATACTTCCTTAAAACAGATCAACAGGACTGATAGTGATGCTTCATTGGGTTACTTTGTAAAAATTTGATATTAAAACTACCAGTGTGTGAATTTAAGGCCTGCTCTTCCACCCTTCCTCCCTGCCTGCCTTCCCTCCCTTCCTTTTTATGGTTATTTGGGTGGGGGTGTGGATGTATTTAGTCTTTGGTTTGAGTTAGCATATTTATTAAATAGCAAAAAATCTGTTTTGAGTTAGTGTGAAAACAAATCATGAACAATGGGTTCCCTTTGACATTACTGGAGCATGATCAATATTTTATTGTTTTTTATAGTTGAGACAAGAGAAACTTTAAAATCAACTTGTCAACATGTAGCTAAACTTTGTGAAACTGACGTACTATAAAATGAAACACTCATTTGCTTTTTTGTTTGATGTAAGAGGAAAATATGTCATTTATTGCAAATTTTTATAGGTTTAAGAGCCATAGAAGTTTAAAGCTGTGATGACCTACCATCTGGGATACACTCTCCTTTTACAGATGAAAAATCAGAGAGATTAAATAACTTCTCAAGAAGACTCGATTATTAGTGACACAGAAAAACTCCAACCTAGTTTCCTGACTTTGTTCAGTGCTGTTTATCACTGTATCACTTAGGTTTCTACTACAAAAACTTTCAATAACATAGGATTTAAGTTTGCAAATGACCTAAGAAAGTCTTAACTGCCTAGTCTTCAAGTACTTTCTTAGGTTTCTAGTTCTATGGGAGTGAATTAAATAAGGATTTTCCCATATTGATGTAAATAAGATGGAATCTACTTTTTAAATTGAGATGTAATTCGCATACCATGGAATCTATTTTTACTCTTCCATTTTGAAAGCTATAGTTTAAGCTTAACTTGTATTCACGGTATCCATTTTATTCAGGCAGTAACTATATAATGCCTCCAAAGACAAGTTTCTACAGTTAAAGGAAGGGGCTGAAAAGATTTCACCTTGATCCTTAACAGTATTTTGGAGCAGGTATGCAGGCGTCTGAAAAAGCTTAATGGTTTTTTTTTAAAAGCCCCCTCTCTATAGAGTTTTTATAAGACAAAGATGGAGAAAAGAGGGATTATAACTATTGAAAAACAGACACATTCTGTGTGAACAGAAATGGGAGGATAGTAACAGAGTAAAAAACATGACTGTGGAGCACAAACATATTCTAAGCCTAAGTACTCTACAGAGGGAAAGGGAAGTGCTGAGGACACGTACAGACTGCTGCGTTCACTTTTTTCCCCAACAGACCTTAAGTAAATACCTACTGTGTACCAAGCCTGTGGAGGCGCTGAGAATGCGAAAATGAATAAGGCAGATCCTCAAGGAGCCCAGTCTGGTGGTGGTGGTGATGGGAAGGTGGGGCGGGGGAGGAGGAGAGAGGGAGCGTATGGAGTGGGGGTTGGGGATGAGCTTAGACGGGAAGGTTGAAAAACTGAATATACAGTAGGAATTTGGTACAGATTTGCGCTGGCTTCTATTGCAGAAATCTGCCCCAGAACATCTGAAAAAAAAAAAACTCAATTAGCCTCATTTGCCAAATTGGGCCAGATATCATGACGCCGGTCTTCTACAGCTAACTTCTCGAACAGGTTTAAAAATCCTCCTTACGCTTCTAGCTCTCGCTTTCCCCACCATTAGAGGGCCAGGCAAGGGAGGGGGCAGGTTGAAAACTGCACCCACGTCTGCTGCCTCTGCTCTCTGCAGGAGACAGGAATCCAGGGCTTTGCCATCGTCATAGCAACTAGGAGTTCCACGGTCCCCCACCTTCCTCCGAGTCCTTCCACTTCCCCCGCCGGCGGGGCTGCGCTGCCGCTTCTCTCGCGAGATTTGCGCGCCGCGCTCAGCGGCCCAGCAGTGATCTCACCCGAGACTTGGGGCGGGAGGGAGGGAAGGAGGGGAAGGAATGGGGCGGGGGGGGGGGGGGGGGGGGGGGGGAGGGGCGAGTGCGGCGCCGCCACCGCCGGCAACTTTGTGAGGGAGTTCAGTGCGTGCGTGAGCGAGTGAGCGAAAAAGTCAGTGCGGCGCCGAGTCTGGGAGGAGGGTCCCCGGGGAGGGCCAGGTCTGGGCTTCAGAGGCCGCCCCCGAGCCACTTCATCCTCTCCCGCCTCCCTGGCTCCCTCCCCATTTCCTCCCCCCACGGGTCCTCCCGGGCCTTCCGCCCCCTTCTGCAGTTACCTGTCCCCTCCCCCACTCGGCACGCACCTCCCCTTTCCCCCGCGCCCACCTCCGACCTCCGGACCCTGGACTCGCAGCCGCGTCGCGCTCGCTCTCCGCGCCGGCCGCCCCCTCCGCTCTTTCTCCTGGGGGCAGGCGGGCGGAATGGGGGGCGCTGAGCCTCGGAGGCGGCGCGAGCGGAGACCCGGGCGCCCAGACAATAGTTGATGCCGGGGGGACGGGGGCACCTCCGCCGCCCCACTTTGCCAGGAGCGCGGCCCCCACCGGCAGCTCTCCAGCCTGCATTCCGGGTCCCCCTCGGAGCCAGGCTCCGGAGTTGGGCACATTCCGCCCCCGCCTCCCCGGACCCCCCTGCGTTCGGCGCCCGCCCCGGCCCGGCCTCGCTGCCTGCCGTTCTCCGCAGAGGAGGCGGCGAGGAGCGCGCGCCGACCGTCTACACGGTTTCTCTTTCTCCCCAGGGAGAGCGCGCGGCGGACGCGCCCCGGACGCGCGGCGGCACCCGGAGGCCGGGCCCAGCGGTAAGTGGCCCCCGTGCCTCGGGGCCGGGCAGGGGAGCACGGGTGCAGGACTGTTGACAGCCCCCCCTCCCTTTCTGGCCGGGGATTGGGTCCAGGGCCCGGAGCAGGACACCCGGAGGCCGGTCAAAGTTTGATTTCCGATTTGGTGGCGTGCTGATAGCGCAGCCCCGCGGGGGTGAGTCCAGGCTGCACAGCGCCTGGCGCGCGCGCACGCATCTCGGAATCCGAATCTGCACAACCCGGGGCCAGGCGCCTGTGCGAGAAGCCGGGAGACCCGCGCTCCCGTCGGGGTGGCTGCGCCCACCCCACCGCTCTCATCTCCATCGGGCGACCCTTCCCCTTCAGTCACCTGGGTGAGCGCTTTGCAGGCTGTGCTGGTGGAAGGGACAGGCCGAGAGGTTTACTCTCCGGAGAGGGAGAAGAGCAGCTCGGTGGCCGCGGGTGGTTAGTTTCTCTCCTGGGGGTCTTAGTGGAGTGAAAGTCTGGGATGCTTTAACCTGCTTTCCTTGGAGCAAGTAAACCTCGAAAGGGCTGGGGACGCGTGAGGGTCCTGCAAAAAGAACTTTTCCTCCTTCGCCCCGTCTGTTTTCAACTTCTCTCCTGACCTTAAAGGAAATATGCGAGGCTCCCTATCACTCCACGGCATTTCTAGGCGGACAAGTAATTGTGGTGGACAGGTTGAAATTTCATTGTGTGGAAAATCTAGAGACAAGGGAGATGGCTCACTTTCAAGGAAGATGTTTAATCGGGTAGTTGGTATATATATTTCAAGGGGAGCGTTTGGGCACTGATGGCTCCTAGACTGCGTTTACCTTATAGATTTTATTTTCATGACGAGTACTTTAGACGCAGCCTTCGCTGAAATTCTTACTACCTGCTAAACGACAGTATTTCTAAACTGGAAGCCAGTGATGCGATGCAAATTTCAGAGTGAAGGTGTCGACTTTCATCAGGTTCCAGGTCTATCTGGATGAACTGGGGTTGGCGTTTCCTCTATAAAGCAGACCTTTCATGTTGAAACTCTGACTCAGATTCTTAAAGCCATTGTTTTTATACTGGTACTCTGTGGGAGTTGTGTCAACTTTCTCTTGTTTTCTCATTGGAATAATCATCCAAGGCAAAAATTCTCTGACTTAATCTTTTGGAAAACGACAAGTTTAAGTCCTGTACAATCATTCTCTGCGGCCAGTTTAGTAACAGTATTAATTTCTGTATAAGCCTGATTTAACGACTTTCACCTTGCCCTTTTTCATTTTTCTGAAAGCTGCAATTAAGCCACCTTTACCAGGATGAAGGGGAAAAAAAGCTGATGGGAATAATGTAGAACAGTGGTGACAGCAGTAGGCTCAAATAAAAGGTTTACAGAAAGCAGTTTATGGTCACTGATGCGTCCAACTATTAGATGACATACCAGTTATTAATGAGAATATTAATATGAAAACATTTTTCCCATGGAATAAAGTATTTATACTAAGCATATATACTAGCAATTAACAATGCATTTAAAATGATTTGGGTGAGGATTTGCACCTAAATGGTTAGGGGCAGAATAAGAGATTTGGGGGGAATGAATGGTTTTATGTGGCTGACAACTTATTTTCTTATCTCATTATGCTTAAGTAAAGGACTCGTGAAGTTGACTGTCATTAGACTTCTCCAGCTGACTGAGAGAACGAGTTCGGCGAGTGGCTCAAGACAGACAGTAGGTGTTGCTGTTAGCTTCTCTGTAGTGCCTGGTTGCTGCTGGAGTTGGAGATTGCAATTCTGGTGCAGTGAACTTTCTGTGTCTGAAGTCAGGCAGGGTTAGTTGTGTTAGTTGTGACTTCATCGTAGGATTCCAGGGCTGGGTTGACTTGAGCCTTGAAAGAATTTCAAAGCATCTCATTGAAATTTCGTATTGAGTTTCTTTTAACTCTTTCCTTTCACTGTTTTCTGCCTTTCGTATTTACTTTGCTTTTGCTTTGATTATATGTGTAATTTACAGCCCTCCTCTCCTCCCCCTCCTTGATTTTTTTTTTTTTAACAACTTTTTAAAAACACCTTCTAGTAACTTTCTTGAAGCCATAGATTGAAGATTGCTTGGAAATTGGGGTTTTGTAGACTTTGGAGGAGTCTTGGTTGAGTATGAGTTGAGATGTGTATTTGCAGTTTGAATTTTTCAGTAAATAGTTGTTTTTCTGTCTCTGAGCTGTGAGGCAGGAGCGTGAGGAGAGGTAGAACAGTATAGGAGTAAAGAATCCTTGAATCTTTTCACTTTAGGGCAAAGTTGTGTTTCCTATCAGTCCTCCTAGTCGTGTGGTCATTTCTATTGGTCCACATCAGTGCACACATGAAGGACGAATATCCTGAAGATTTTCAAGTGACATCTCAGATTTGAGCCTTTTGGTTCACTGACCAAGCTGGACTTTCTCTGAGGAACACAAATAGACTCATTCCCATAACGGAGGGCTCGAGCTCTGATATAGCATGCTTCTTTCTTTCTTTTGACTCAAATCACGGAAGTTCATGTCTCAAACTCAGAAAAATTTTTTCCTCTATAACATCACTATATTTGTAACCTTTTGAAATTTGTGGTGGTCAGACGGCCTTTATTGAGTGCCTCTGTGTGGGAGGCGTGCTTTTGGGTTCTGTGATTCCAGTGGTGAGTGAAAGTGTGTTCCTGGTCACATGGACCTGACAGTCCACTGGGGCCATTTGTAGTGACCTTTCCTGGTTTTGTGTCCTGATACCCTGATGCCCCCATAAAGGTTCTGTGTAGCAGACAATCAGTTATTTTTTATTGTTAACTTATTTAAGTTAATTTTTAAAATAATGGACCCTAGGGGCTGGCTCCGAGGCCGAGTGGTTGAGTTCGCACGCTCCGCTGCAGGCGGCCCAGTGTTTTGTTGGTTCGAATCCTGGGCGCAGACATGGCACTGCTCATCAAACCACGCTGAGGCAGCGTCCCACCTGCCACAGCTCGAAGGACCCACAACTAAGAATATACAACTATGTACCGGGGGGCTTGGGGAGAAAAAGGGAAAAAATAAAATCTTTAAAAAAAATAAAAATAAAATAATGGAGCCTAGTATCTGCCTTCAGAGTGTCTGGGTTTCAAGTTTTCCACTATAGGGTCTTAAAAAATAATTGAACCTTTTTCTGAAAAACTGTCTTTTTCTGCAGAGATGGGCACGATACTTGCTTCCCAGCTTTGCTGCAAAAGTTAATGAGAATATATGTATGGAAGTACTTTGCAAAGCATATCATCTTATTTGAAGTTGCATTTTCTTACTTTCCGATGAACTGATTCATAGACTGTTGGAGCTAGAAGGTTATTTGGAGCATAAATCATTTGGCCCATCTTCCTCCTCATTTGACAGATGAGGAAACTGAAGCCCAGAAAGTCGAAGTGATTTGAGGAAGGTTTTAGAAGAACTAGTTAGTGATCAGGTGGTGACTGGAAGGCAGGTTTTGAGACTTAACTATATTCCTTTGTTTCCTGGATTTTTTTCTACTTTAGAATCTATGTGTTAAAATCTGTTTGCTCCCCCAACCCTTGTGCGTTCAGCATTTATTAAATGTCTAAAATGAGAAGCAGCAAAACTTATGGAAACAAACAAAATTTCCATTAAGATTGAAAAGCTATGAAAACAGCATTGATGTAGTGTTTCGTGACTAACTTTAGAGTTACTCAAATTACAAAGTTATGGAAAAAGAAATTATGAGTTAAAGTATGTACATGGTAGTGCCTGTATGCTTTTTTTTTTTTTAAGGAATCTTTATTAACTCAGAGCGTAATATACTTGAACGTTCCTTAGAGAAGCCAAGCTTAATTTGTTGTGGTTTACCATTTTCTTCCCTTCTTAAGCTCATTTTCCATTTTTAAAAGAAAGTAGTTGTAGCTTCTTTATTTCTGGGATAGTGGCAACTTTCAGACCTTCTCCCACAGCTACATGTAAGGGTGACCAGTAACGGGGTGGGGGGGGGGGAAGGGTCAGGTGGAAGGAGCTTCCTGTTGAAAATGACTGATTGGTATCGCACCATCCTGCCTTCCACTGTGTAATCTGAGCCAGGAGAGAAGAAACATCCCTGTCGTTTGGGTGACCGCCCTTGAGGTGAGGGGCTCTCCCTTTTCCGGGGAGGGTTAAGCCTTATGTTGTTCTTTTAGTGCTCACACAAAAGTTCGTGTCTTGTTCCATATACGGTGCTAGTTAAAATACGGGTGTTCCATTGTCACTTGAGAGTGACAATCCAGCCTTCTAGCTACTGCACTTCTCCTTTTTTGGTGTGGGAAATAAATTGGCCTCATTGGATGTTTGCTTTTCATTTTTTTCTGTGCCTACCTGAGGAAAGAAAAAGGAAAATGCAGCCACGCACTTAGGTGGCACTTTGTTTTCCAAAAGTTATATATGAGTTAATAATTCTAGATGATAGCTTGTTTATTTTTTTTGGTGGGCTGTGCAGTGAGTCATAGCAACCTGGGAATGATTCCCTCGGCTTTGGACTTCTTAAACACAGACGACTTGAAGGACAGATGAAATAACATGAGTTTGACGTGGTTTGTGATCATGGGGGCAAGTCAGTCCATTGGGGTCTGTATTTTGAGAGTAGAGGAAGCTGTGACAGTCCACCTCTTATTTTCTTTATTCTGGCCTGGGGAGAGTAAGGTAATCCCTGTTGGAAGAGAAAGTGAGTGTTTTCTTGAAGATCTAGAGAGATGACACCAAAATGACACGGAGGAATGTCACGGGTTTCTTTAGTCTTTGTTGGAGCTTCATAAATAGCAGTGCCTTGATGGGTGTGCCAGAGAGTCAGGCGAAGCTGGTCCCTTTCCCTCCAGAGGTCTGGGATGAGGATTTTCAGCCTGTAGATTTCTAATTTGTTACTTGTCCTGTTGCACCAAGTTCTCCCTCTAATTAGGACTGTAGTATGCCTAACTTTAAATTGTGGGAAACGGGCAATTACATAATGTTAGATTTCCCGTTTTTCAGCGCAGGAGAGGCAGGAGGAGAATGCATGCTTGCTGGAGAACCTGGCTTGGAGTGGGAGGGCTGCTGGTTTGCACAAACACAGGGGTCACTCAGAGGCAACTGGAGCAGACAGGCATCCAGCCTCGGCAGCCGCTGGCTTCCTTCTCCCTCCTCCTCCAGAGCAGGTCCAGGTTAAATGAATTTCGCAGACATGAGCGTTAACTTGGGTTATTCCTCTTTTCTGTTTCCACAAAGCCTTTTACCAGAGCTACAGCTATAGTCATTGATTAGTTTTTGTGGTTCTGCGTCTTGCTTCCTTTTAGAGTGGGTTCTGAGGTACTCAGAAGAAAGCTGTCGAGAAATACAAAGCAGAGGGCTTGGTGCTGAGTGATCGTGTTCCTATA